CACACTGTATATTGGACATTAACATGATTGAGTGGGTCCAAAAGTATTTCTCGAGAAGAGTACTCCACTCCTCTACTCACAATAGTATTCCCTATGCCTCCAAGGCTTGAAATTTTGGGCTTGGACAATCTTGAACTGCACTGCCTGCAGACCAATCTAAGCATCGTTCAGAATATTGTCTGCTATAACATCTTGCCCGTCAATAACTTCTTCAGCTTCAATAATACACGGGCAAACAACCGTTACAAACTCAAAGTGAACCGCTCCAAACTAGATTTCAGAAAATATGACTTCAGCAACAGAGTGGTACCCGATTCTGTTGTTACACCCTCAACCTCTCACAGCTTCAATCTCAAACTGTCTATTGTGGACCTCACCCCATTCTTAAGAGGTCCTTAAAGGGGGCATGCATAAGCACACCAGCGTGCCTACCATCCCTGTCTTACTGTCCCCATTGATCTGTATTTACTTTCTTTGTTCATGTTTATGTTCATACCTATACTTGTTATCTTGTACGTGTTTGACAAATAAATAAACAAATAAATAAATAAATAAATAGTCACCAGGCCCAGTTCAGAGGGTCAACAAGGGTCTGCCTATGATTTTTAATGTAGTTAATTTTTGTATTCATTATTTTGTGGTGACAATTTTTTAATGCAAATTTTGACACTGACTGAAATTTGACTATCCAGGATCTTCAGAAATAGATGACATAGAAATCAAGCAAGCAAGACAGACAGACCTAAGATTAGAATACACAGGTCATATCACTTGCAGTAGATCAGTAAGGTTTACTAACTCCCAGCCTTTTAACAGTAACAACATATGATTTTCATGGCATAGGGCTCTGTTGTCTTCAAGACTGCCAATCTCCAATTGTTTCTACCCACCTTAGACATGTGGGCTGAGTGGATAGACTCCAGGTCCCCTCAACTAACTTCTCATTGTGTGTGTGTGTGTGTGTGTCCTGTCATGTTTTATTACTTTTTTTTTAGTCTATGTTGTCACATTTTATGTTTTTAAAACACATAACATTTTACATGTTTGTTTTTTGTAAGTCACCCAGAATGTATTGGAGTAGACAGTGATAACAAATGCAATAAATAATACTGATTAACTTTAAAAATTAGAATTTCAGAAGCAGATTATTGCACAAAACAACTGGATACTCCGTTCACTTCTGGTAATGAAAATAAAAATTCCCAGGCTCACAATATACTTAGAAACTAATCTAATGTAGAGGAACCAATTATTGTTCACAAATAGACCATTTTAAGAAAAAATTCAATTTAAGAAAGCTGGCTCTCTGAAATTATTTTAATAAACATAGCACTAACAAAATTGGACAAGATATTAATGCATATCAATATAGCCAACTTCAACCAAACATCAACCAGATGGTTTAGCTATTTGTTAAATGTTTGGCTTTCACTTTGATAAATAGAGTAGTAAGCAATTAAAGACAGCTAAGAGGACAAAAAAGGTTGATCTTGAATAGCATATAGTTGATGGATCTAAGTAGAGATACTGTAGATGTGACATCTTGAAATAATAACTCCCAGTTTTCTTTAAACTGGTGTTTAAAGAAAACTGAACAAAGCAAAGTCATTGCTGGGACATTTAAGAACTTCATGGCTTATCACTCTCAATTCTATACTTTTATTTGGAAAGATATCTGTGAAATTAGAACCAAGAAGAAATAAACAAAAGTATCCTTAGTCCAACATGGTTCTGAGCATAATTCAGCAACCAAACAAACCAACTGCTACAATTTTAGCAAAGCAAGAAGTTTTTAGAAAGGCCAGAATCAGTTCACATCATTCCTATGCATAGATGACCTTTAACACAGCATCTATATAAAGCAAAAACTGTTTAACTTTTACCTTATTCAATTAACAAAACTTCCCAACCAATTTTCCACAAGAGAAGCTGCATAAGGACTTTATTTAGACAAGCCAAAACACCCTGCAGCAACCCGGAAGAGTAGAAAAAGGAAATAGAGCATCTATATACAATATATTCCAACAAAATGGTTATTCATGCAGCTTTATCAAAAAGTCCCTAACTACTCAACCCAATGTGGCACAACCAACACAAACCCTAAAAAGAATTATACTGCCATACATCAAGAATAATTCAGAAACCACCAACAGACTACTATAACCATATGGAATCAGCATAGCAAGCCAACTAAGGCCCTTCAGAACATCCTAAGCCAATGGTGGCTAACCTTTTTTGTCTCCTATGCTGAAAATTGTGCATGTGTTCAAGCACTCGCACTCTCATGCCAGCACCCAGAAGGCAATGAGCGTGCTTCCCTCACACCCCCTGTGCATGTGCGTGTGACCCCCCCATGCATGCTGCATGTCTCTGCGCATGCGCCTACATCTCCCGCACACACACCGCCCCTTGTGCATGCACGCTAGATACCCAACAATTAGCTGTCGGGCAGGCAGCGCGTGCACATGCGCAGTGGGGCTCTTCTGGGTGACTTCTCATAGGCTGGCAGAAGTGGCTCTACGTGTCACTTCCAGCAAGCGTGCCATAGGTTTGCCATCACGGTCCTAAGCAAACCAAAAGACCCAACAACCCCAGAAGAAATAACATGAGTTATCTACAACATACAATGTAAGAGACTGCAACAACCACTATGTAGGACAAACAGGCAGAAGACTGACAAAGTCTATCCACTAACACCAACTAGCAGACAGAAGACATGATGATTTTTTTTAGACAGATTTAACCATAATTTCAATAGTGTGGCCATCCTAAACCAAGCCAAGTCCAAAAATGCCAGGGAATTTCTAGAAGCCTGGCACTCTGACAAATCAGCCATCAATAAACACATAGACATTAACAACATCTTATAGACTATATAAAAGAGACTATCACCCAGCCCAAAAACAAACAAAAAGACCCAACCTCCTCTCCACCAGCAATCAGCACCCAGATCAGCATAGATTAATTCTAAGGTTAACATTAGACCAACAATAAAGAAAACAATATCCCAATCAAGAAACTGCCAAAGGAGCCAACAGCAAACAGCCCAATCAAAGAATCCCTAAGAGAACACCCACCAATACTGACAGACAACCCAGTAGACTAGAATATAAACTGATAACAAACACACTTCTTACTACCACTGTTGATGCTACCTAGTTTGGGTAATAAAATATCTGCAAGAAAACAAGCAAGCTGAGAGAGCATCAAGGACTCTTAATGTGACACACCTTTTCAGATCCTACCTTTTCTTTTTTTTGCATTGGAAGTGAGAGAGATAATTAAGATTCACTCTGCATACACTAAAAGAAATTAGTAACAGTAGCACTTAGACCTATATACCCCTTCATGGTGCTTTACAGCCCTATTTAAAGGGTTTACAGAGTCAACATATTAACCCCAACAATCTGGGTCCTCATTTTACCAATCTCAGAAGGATGGAAGATTGAGTCAAGCTTGAGCCAGTCAGGATTAAACTGCTGGCAATCAGCAGAATTAGCCTGCAATTCTGCATTCTAACCAATGTGCCACCACGGCTCTTACCATTATCATTATAATTAACATGATCACAAGCTGAAATCTTGACACTAAAAACTGCGCCTGGGATAAATTTTGACAATTTCCGATTCCTTTACGCCCTGACACTTTCCTGGGCATAGCCCACTCCTAATTCTGATCTGGAGACATTGTTATAGGCTCCTGACTTCTCATTAGCATCCACAAACATATTTAAAATATTGTATTAATTGTTTGCTTAACAATTAAGAGCTTAGGATGCAGTTCTCAGCCTTCCAGGAAATACACTGCTTGTGTGATATATAAAAGACATTATAAGAGGTAATAAAGGTAGAAAACTGGCATTGCATCAACTCTGCATGGGGGAAAGGGGGAATGCAAAAGTAGCATTTACCTAGTTCAGGGATGGGCAACTAGGTTAACTTTATGACCTGTAGACTTCACTTCCAGAATTCCTGAGCCAGCAGGATCACATGACATCTTTTTGCTATCATGCTCAGAGGTGGAACAGACACCTGCAGATACATTATTCCCAGGTGAACAATATAGGCTATGTTTATGTAAGCTTAAATCCTAGCAATTAAACAAAATGATTACCTTACTTTCACATCATTTTAAAACTCCCTGGCATGTTATTGTTTCCTTAGTTTTTAACTGCATTTTCGTTTTTATGCTATTTTATGCTTTGAATGTTCTACTGCAAAAAAAAAAAAAATTACCAATTACCCCAAAAATGGTAAAGCAAGAAATGCCACAATTTTAGCCTACATCTAAATTGTGCAGGCTGTCATGAAAATCTTCTCCTATAAAGACAAAATGTAGCATTTGGCCATTAATATATAAGAAAAATCAAGATTTCTTTATAACGTTGATCCTATGGTATTTAACAGAAACATTATCAAATTATCTACCTGTTTATCACATCATAAACAGAACTGGGTATATCTTACGAGCCTACAGTATTGGCTTGTTCGTTTATAAATCATATTTATATGTCTGCCAATCTCACAGAATGTGACTCTGGGAAGCATACAATAAAACAGTAAAACAGCAATATTAAAATAGAATGTTATTAAAACTATTGAAGTTATTATTAAAAAGGCTAAGTGACAGTGTTAGATATTATGAACAATAAAGCTACCTCAAGTGACCCTGAGGATTCAGCCAGGTTAGTTTCCTTTAGGTTTAACCAGCTTTCAGTGTTCAGTTGTAGTTTCTAATAAAAGACAGTTGTAAGAGAGCACAGAAAGTCAATGCAGGCCTGTTTCTGTGCACAAAAATTAGATGCATTGAATACATTTTGTTATAGAAAGTGAAAGCTGTAGTTACTGCTAAACTCCAGCAAATAAATGAGAGCCCAATTCTGCATATGCTCAAAAGCACAGTTTTGTTTTTAATGAGGTCATTTATAAAATGGCTGAGTTTCAGCCTTGAAAATATCTTCTAAGCCTTTGTGAGAGTACTTTCAGCAACAGTAAACTCACCCGCTCCCCATGTTTAGCATCACTGAGGGCTCCTGGTTTCTCATTATCGTCAGCCTCCTGATTGTGTACTGTGTTGGTGGAGCTACCATTCACTGTATTTGGCCCAGTTGCTGCTGCCTCCAGCTGCTGCTGGGGACTTCCTTCTTGAGCATTCTTCACCTCCGAATCTGGGCCCGTCTCTGTCATCATTGTTACTGATTATTCTGCATTTGCAAAGGGAAGATGAAATACATGAGGATGGGATTAAATGGGATTAGAATAAGTTTTTTCCTCTCAACCTCTAGGGCATACACCTGTGCCTCCAGGAGCCATCGTGCACAAAAAAATTATATAGAGAGTATTCTCTTTTCATAGTTAATCAATCCAACACCTGGATATTTCAATCTCAAGAACCCATTCTGCAGATGCCGCATAGGGATGGGAATTGTTGCAATAAAACATTCCTTCAGGCTACAGACTGATATCCACATTTATTATTGCTAAATCTCTGCTTTGATTGAAACTGAAAGGCAAGACTATCTAAAGAACATTATTTTAAATAAAACGCTAAGTTTCCAAAAACATGAGATTTTTACAGGTACATATGAGTGGAGTGCATGGGGAATTCTGAAATGAATATTACCAGAGGATTTTTGAAAATGGTCCAGGGACTACACAACACACTGAGGTGCAGATTGCTGAACATCTTTTAATGTAGAACAAGACTACATCTTAGCTTTCCCTCCACGACAATTTTGCCTATGTTTACTGACCTAGAATTGGAGCTAATACTTTTTTTTATATAATTGTTCTTGGAATAGCCTTGTGAAGGAGGTTGTTCAGGATGTGGCTTTCCCAAAATCCCCTCACGTAAAATTCCTGTTTTTCAACAATAAGAGCATCTCAGAGCCAAGTAGTTGCCCGATCAAGGTGTAGTATTTTATAGGAATTTTTCTTTTCTTACACTTAAATCTGACATGCTGAAATCTTGCTACCACAAATAGTTATGAATTCCAATAGTCTCTTAATGTGAAAAGGCAAACTTCCCAAATTAGGTTCCCTCCAGAAATGTTTCACTACAACGGCCATAATCTTCAGTCAGCACTAGACAGGTTCAGGTAGAGCAGGAAAAATGTACACAAAAATATAGTTGTGTTCTACAAAGCCAGATCTTTCTCTTTGTGCTTTATGAACTACAGCATCATATGGAAGCCATGTATCAAACAAGCACCAGACCTACAGCTTTGTTGCATGCAACACTAATCTCTCCACCCACAAAATCAAATATATTCCATATGGGTATTAGAATGCAAAAAAAAAAAAAAAGCACTGATTGCTGAGCTCTGACTGCTAATCTGTCCCTTCTATACATTTTTGTTTGGCTTAACAAGATGCCTAATGCATCTGCACATAAGGGTACAAATGAAGCACTACAGCTTGCACCAAACCAATTACTTCCTCCAAATAACTAGATATTGCTGACTGGTGCCGGCTGAAAATTTCCATCCAACGCAATAGTTCAGACAACACAGCAGATCTCACAGCTTGCATAAGCTTTTGACAATAAAAACAAGGCATAATGAGAGTTTTTCTTCTACAGATGTCTCCTTTGTCTGGCAGACACTCCCATGCCCGTGTTAGTGCAATCTTTCTTTGAAGCTCATGTTAAATCTTCTGGTCTTTCTCCCTGTAACTGAGTCCAGCAGAAGATGAAAGACAACTGCTGTTTATTCCAAGGGTCCCCAACCCTCAGGCTGCAGGCCACTACCAGGCTGCAACCACTTCAAAACCAGGCTGTGTGAGCTATGGGTAAGTGCATGCACATAAAGCTCCACTCATGTGAGCTGTAGACCCTTACGCTCACCCACGAAGCTCCACTCATGCGAATGGAGGACGCTTGTGCATGAAGCATCACTAATGCATATGAAGCTCCATTCACGTGAGTCCAAATGCCCTTTGCTCAAGTACCTTCCGCTCACATGAGTGGAGCTCATGCGCAAACGCAAGTGCCTTCACTCATGTGTGAAGCTGCATTTGCACCAGCACTAGTGCCCTCCATCTACACGAGTGATGCTTCATAACCAAGCATCCACTGCTTACGTGTGAAGCTCCATTCACCTGAGTGGATGGTGAGTGGAGGGTGTTCGTGCCCATTACTCATACCAATGGAGCTGTGTGCATGCTTGTGTGCCTGCCACTCATCTGTTCCCCCACCACCACCACCACCAGATCAGACTGCCAATGTGGAAAGGTTGGGGACTACTGGTTTATGCCAGCTTGGATTCTTCAGTTTGGCTGAAATGTTTTAAAAAGTAAAGTTTAATCTGTTTAGAGAAAGCTTTTAAATACTGAAGTCACTCAATACACATTTTGGAAGTAGAAAGAATATTCCACTCTAGTGAGACTAAGTAGAAGAGAAAAAGAGACAGGAGAGACTATTGGCCAGCTGAGAAGCTGCTACTAGCCACAATTTCACATCCCTAACCCCAGTTCTATTATGGTGTCATTCCCACCAAACAAATGATAAATTTTCAGATATTGAAGAAGTCTCAGTCCAGAATTATTTTGGTTTAAAGTTAAAAACTGGAAAACTTCTCTGAAAGAAATTCTTTTCTCTACAATATACAGCCACATTTCTGACTGAGTTCTAATCCACACAGCAAATTCCAGTCCATACAGAGCTAATGTTCTTGTTAATGTCTTACATAAACCATCATATTATCTGAATCATGCCTTAAAGTTATATGCGCAAACACTCCTTGAAAAAGAAGGGTAAAAACGAATTCATGCTTCAAACTAGAAAAAGAATCTTTTCCAAGTTTTTTTCTTTTTTAACATATGTGGTCATTTCAATGTTTTATCTTCTTTCAAACAGAATACAAAGATAAATATGATAAAGGTGACATTTGGGGAAGCAACGGTGAAGAGAAAACAGCTCTGCTCAGAGAGAAGCCAATGACACAATGGCCCAAGAAGCCAGCATATGGATCCACTTCTTGGAATTCCCCAGACAGGAAGAGGACACCGGATTGTCCACAAGCACTCCAGAGAGCAGCTTCCTGTGAGAAGACCATAAGACAACTATCTCGGGTAGGTTTTAGAACTCTGAGAACCAAAGTCTTGTAACTACAGGTTTTTTAAAAGAAAAGTGCCCTCCAAATAAACTGATGTATGGTCAACTCTTAAGAAAACTTCATCAAGTAAAGCTCAATTCTTGATGAATTCACGGCCATGAATTATGAAGTTTTCTCAGCAGCAATATGATTTGTCCATGCCTTCGTCTGAGATGTTTTTCACTTCTCAATCTAGCTGGAATGCAATACATCTGTGCGGTACTTGGTTGAGGAAGACACTGGGATAGGCGATGTTATTCTCTTTCAGCTACTATGATGGGTAATCTTTCAGATATTTACAGTACATAGATAGCTTTCACCAATTCTTTAAATGAGAAATACAAGTAGCAAGATGAGGACTAATAGATACTGCTTAAAAATCACATCCACAGAGCACTGGGGTTCTGACATGTGGAACTCCATGTTTTTCAACAGTTTAAAGGGTCGGACTCAGCATAACATTTGTCTATGGACCCAAGTATATAATTTTAAACAAACATGCAAAGCTGAATTCCTGACATCTGGCTTCTTGGCAAGTGATTCCCTATACACCCCTAAAAAGCATTAAAATGCTGCCATTTCCTCTCTTTGGCTAGTCCTCCAAAACAGGTTGCTGTACCCTGTGGGAAAAGTCCACAGGAAGTGCAGAGAAAGAATTCTGGAGAAACATTTGCAATTTACCATTTATTTATTTGATGTCTATAGCTGCCCATCTCAACAAGGAATTCTGATTTTAGTTAATTAACGACAAGAAAATGTGCCCTCTTAAAACCAAAACACTTTGGTCAGGGACTATTTTTGCTGTAAGATTTCATAGAGTGAAACCACCATGGTTCCTTTACCACAGCAAGTTTTATACACAGCATGCGTTAATTTCACCTAAAATGAGCTTTCTGATGATCCTGTGCAATATTCTAGTTTCATGCTTCAAAACAGCAGTGCAAACATTTCTGAAGGCTGGCTTTCTGCCTAAGGCGTGCCAAGTTGTAATGCAAAGATTATTCCTCTACTTTGAAATTGCTTGTTGAACTAGGGAAGAGCATCTTTCTTCCCTCTTTCATTACAGCCCACCACTTTCCATCTTTCTGCTTTTTTTCCTGACTATTATGATATAGAAAGAGATAGGAAGAATGGATATCATGCCCATTAGCATCAGAATAAACCATGTAGGACTCCATCAGATTGAACTGGAGGAGGAGAAATGGAAAAAAAGGAAGAAAAGAAAAAAAACAAGTTGAAGAAACTGCATGTGTTGTGTCTTTTGACTCACTGAGAGTGATAGATTTAAAGAGTAATTTTGTGGAGTTGTTAGCTGACAGCTTTCTGTTTATTTATCTCAACCCTCAAAAATTTTGTAATGGCTTTCAGAACAATAAAACCTATACAAAAAGAAAGACTACAAGAAGAATTATGGCTGGAATAAAAGAGAAAAATATATAAAGCACTGCACTGCGTACAACTCCATGTAGGTTTTGTCTATATGAAGGGAAACCAACCACTTGGTAATTTCTCAAAGGAAAGATGTTTATATGTAACAACATTTGTATGTAATCTTTCAAAACAAGACCCTTCTAAGTAGCTTAAAGCAAGCCAAAGCATGCTAAATTTTTGCAAAGGGAACCTCAGGATTCCACATCAAAATAATGAAAGCACCTCTGTAACACCAAGACACAAATAAATCTTCTTTTCTACATACATGCAATATCATAATGCATGTACAATACAAGTGCACTTGCTTCACAGCAGCACAATACAACTTTCACCATTTGCCCCCTTGCCCAGCTCTTCCAAGAAAGAGCACCGATTCCTGAAATTTCCACCAGTATTTCAAATACCACAAGATTAACCCTGAGCAATTGGGATTTCTACAATGTGATATAATATTGCTGCAGACTTCAAAAGTAACTCACACCTCTGTATACTTCCTGATATTATTCTGACTGAACAAACATTTCTGCATTTGCATTTCTACATAGGTTTTTAGCTTTTTAATTTTAGCCCTTTAAAGGTCCAGATCCATCTCTCCCCTTTTTAAGAGTAACAGAGGGAACAGAATGGTTGTCTAATTTTCTCTTTTCAGGGTCCATTTGGGTATATATAACTGTGGCCTT